CACGTAAGCGATATAAATAATATTACGTAACGGCCACGCGTTCAACGTCGTGTTTCTCACAAGTGGAAAATGTGCACGTTGGAGCGCATACCCCGAGTATAGAGTCGATAAACGTGTAGAGATCTCTGCGCTTTGCAGAAACCGGATCGAGATTTATGACTTCGACATTTCGCTTGACGCAGCTGTTGCGTCCGCGAAATCTGCGGATCGGCTATTCCCCCGGGTCGATCGGCAGAGCAGATCGGATATGTCGCGCGGCGTAATGAAGTGCCACATCGGCAACGACGGAAGACGCCGTCGGGGGCGGATAGCGGCTGCTGTCGAGGGAACGGCAAGCGAAGGGATAATATCCGCGGGGTGAGTTCGAACGCGGTCAGAAAGCGTGATTAATTGCTCGAGTCTCTCGAAACGCTGACTAAAGACCCCGGTTAGGGGTCTACGGTCCCGCATCCGTAGATCTGGCACGTCGACCTGGCGCTCGTGAAAATTAATAACGAGCCCGTGCGCGGATGAAAGGTAGGCTTAAGGAGCTTCCATCTCATCCCCCGGCACTGCATCAACCGCCTCACCCGTGCCCGGTCGGTCTCACAATCCCTCGATATTCTCTCGAAGGCTCGTCGTCCGTCACACGGTTACGTGTCAGCAATTTCCACGGGGAATTATAATCTGATATCTCGTCTGGTTTCTTCTCTTCCGTAATTCGATTTTTTTTTTTTACCACTTCACCGCTAACGACCAGTTGAAACATGATGTTTTCTTGGGTTCGTTCTCCACTGTCGTTAATTCCACTAGTTAGAAGGTAAGTTTTTAGACGATGCGCGTCGAAAATCTCGAAGTGTTGCAACTTTCTCGGCGACGGCTGTTTCACCCGAAACTAAGCGGGATATATAAATTCGCGATCGTATTATTCGTTATTGTTGTACTCGCAAGTGATACCGTATTATTCGTTATTCATTGAAACGCGGCACGAACGTGATGTTTATCTTCGCAAGAAGTGATTAAGCGGATCTCGCTGCGCGAGAGGATATTAATAACTAACATCGCATTCGTCGTCACGTGCTTGGGCTCCTCTCTAATAATACTCGTCTATTCTTACTCAAAATGTGAACTGCAGTAGTTTTACGAGTTTACGCGTTATGTACGTAGGTACTTGGACAAAGCGTTAGAGCGTTGTTATTCGCATATAGAGCATCGCAATCAGAGCCACAACGCGCTCCAAGATATGAGGTAATATTGCTGTATAAATTTTTCTCTGTTCTTCTCTCGCGGACGGAATTTTATTCAAAGCAGAATATTAGAATAGATATGCGAGCCAAAATACATATTTATATATTTGTATTATATTTGTACACTTGAGTTTTGTATATATATATATATATATATATATATAGATTTTTATTTTCTCAAATATATAAGTTTCTTCACACGATGTGTGTTCGCAGATTTTTGCATCGAGAAATGTTGTTTTGCCACCAACAATTATCAAAGTTTAATAACGCATAAAGAAGTACAATACAGCAATTAAAGTTGATAATAAGTCGATCGGAAATAATTGAATTTTACGTTAGATAAGCAACGAAAAGTTTTCTGTCGTGTAAACTCGTTTGCATACTTCCACCATACCTGTGGCGGGCCTCAGATGCTATTTAAACTTTAAGTGACTTTGTGTTGAAGTGCTTTAAGCACGCTAATTGAAAACAACGAGCCACCAAAGGCGGCCCACAGGCGGGCTAACTGTGGTCGGATGGCGATTCGCGCGGCCCACTTAGACGGATTAGAATAGCATGCGAATGATGAAAATTTGGAAGGAGAAACCTCCCTCTCTCATCCCACTTCTCTCTTTCTTTCAGACTGTGCGTTTGTGTGTGGGTGTGAAAAAGAAAAAAAAACTCGTGATATATATATATATATCCGATACCGACGCGCGACGGCAACGGGGCGGCGAATAGAAATTTGTCTCAAAAAATGACGACGGAGAGAAAGAGAAATCGAACAAGTCAATGTTCAACATATCTGACTATTTAGAATATCCTATGAGAATCCGGATACTTTCAACAAGATGAGCGCGATGATGGAAAAGAATCGTCGTAAAATTGATCGCGATGCGTGCAAACACGTCGAAGCATTTTGACCGGACCGGTGTTGCACATCTGCGAGAGCTGAATTGAAATTTCTCACGCTCGAATACGCACCGAATCGGATCCGTAGTAGCATCATCCCGGGCTTTTTGCAAAACTTGACCGGACGGAAGGACTCGCGGCCCGAACGAAATTCATTGCTGGTATATTTCCCGCTCATATTGCCACTTCCATCGGCTTACGGCCACCCGGAAATAGTCGCCGCGGCGGGCGTGGAGCGATTTTATATAGGTATCGCGACTGCGCGCGAGAGATGGTCATTTGTAAAATTCCGCGCGAGCGCGCGTGTGTGTCGACAAGCTTTTGTTATCTCTATATATATTCATTGCGAAGTAATTGAATATTTACGATAGATTTGTTGCGTGAAAAGTGAAATGTTGCGGAAAATTGAAACGTTATTTTCTTCAAATGCTTACTTTCTATTCTTTGTTTATCATATTAATCCTTACACCGCGTGGATTGTAAACTTCCACTTGGAAATCAACAGCGTGCAGTATCGCGTTACGTATCGAATCATTTTTTTTCTTTTTTTTTGTCAGCGAACACTCCCGGAAGGGAAACTTATCGTCCGTAAGAGCGACGGAGTACGATTTTCGCGACGCAAATAGACGAGCGCTCGTCTCTCATTCGTTCGTTCTTTCTTTTCGTTTTCAGAGTGGAGCTCTAACGGCTTCGGGCTCGCGACTGAGTAAACACTCGTTCTCTGTCTCATTTTCCGTTCCCTCCTCTTTGCGCGTTCGCCCCGTTGCAACTTCGGCCGTCTCATTCTTTACACCTATCACCCTCTTTTCCTCTCCCCCTTTTCAACTCTTTCGCTCTTTCTCTCATTGCTTCGATTCCTCAGTTTTGTTTTCTGGCGTATAAAAGAATCTGGGAAATGTCCAAAATTAAAAAAAAAAAAATAATAGAGGGCAAAAATTCGAGAGAGCCAAATTTACTTCAACAAGAGTATATTCAAACGCCGAATTCCCAATCAAGCTGGAATCTGACTGGAAATGCAAATTTATCTCCCTTTCGTGGCTTTATGGTATCTTTGTTTAATGATATCTCTCGCAAGAGAGAGAGGTCAGTCTGTTCGATATAGAAATCTTTCGAGTGGAAAATAAAGCAAAACGGGAAGAGAGAGAGAGAGAGAGAGAGAGAGAGAGAGAGAGAGAGAGAGAGACAGAAAAGTAAGAAAAACAACAAGCATGCCCAAAAAAGTATTTTAGATAAAACTATTCTGGATAACATCAGTGGAGAAATGATCAAAAGTGGTGCACATTTCCGCAAATTCACATAACTGCAATTCCGGATGGCTTATTATACGTTTCTTTTGCCTCGGGATTCAAAAGCGCGGCTCTCCGCCTCGGCGCAGCATTCGGTATAATGTTTTCTGCGGTATAATGAGGAGCTTGAAGAGCGCGAGTGATATTGGATGAAATATCATACGCGCGGTAATAATCTTGTTGCCTTTTTCTGTCTAATGCGACACTCATCTCGATTTTCTGACGCTTGTATGTGTGTATTCTTTTCCCTCACATTCTTTAGCTCCACTTCAAAGATGAAAAGGCAACGAAAAGAAATAACAAATGCAATATCAATTTTTTTTTAATCACACAACACAGGCGCGCGCTACGCGCACGCTATTATTATTTTTATTTAACGTGTTATCAGTGAACACAACCTGTCACCGCGATGACAGATAGTATATACGTCTTATAAACCATATAATACACATATGAGAAATGTCAGAAATAACACATAAAAATCAAACTCAAAAAATAGTAAAAGAGAGAAGTGGAAAAACAACAACGTGACTAAAGTCACGTGACAGATAAAAGGGTAAAAAAGAGAGAATATTATATATATTATATGTAATATTCTATATCTATATATAATACACACACATACGCATATATATATATATACGGTATATATATATATACCGTAATCACGTGACCAAAGTCAGTAACACCGCCGCGGTCGCGCGGCCGAGGTCAATGACTCTACCGCAGTCGCGCGACCGGGTCATTGACCCCCCCCCCCACCAAGGCCGCGCGGCCGAGGTCAGTGCCCCGCCAAGGCCGCGCGGCCGGGTCAGTGACCCGCCAAGGCCGCGCGGCTGGGTCAGTGACCCTCCCCCCACCAAAGCCGCGCGGCCGAGGTCAGTGCCCCGCCAAGGCCGCGCGGCCGAGGTCAGTGACCCCGCCAAAGCCGCGCGGCGGAGGTCAGTGACATTACTGTAGTATGTATATAATACATATAATACAATATAAAGTATAATATTATAAATATATAATAAGTTATATATGTATAATACGTATTATTTAATGTATAATATGTATTATTTAATGTATATATAATATAAATTACAGTCACGTTATTTTCACTCCAAACGCGCACTTCTCGGTCCAAATGCCCTTTTTTATATAGGACAAAAAATGAAACTAAATTTTCATCAAAATTGTTGTTCTTATAACATCGTGACAGTTGCCGCTTTAAAGACTTTAATCTCTCGCGCCGTTTTGTAATCGTTAATAACGATCTGAAGATTATATCATCGCAAATAGTAATGAAAACGCGTCTCAAGTATCTCTTCTGGCAATTAATGTCGATTTTATCAACAGTTTTTAATTGCTCCGATTCGAAACTATATCGAGTCGCATCCAATTTCTTCGTCTCGGGAAGAAATTCAGCCGCCGTTTTTCCAAAGTGATGAAAATGAAGAAAACACCGAAATGAAACTTTATATATGCTGTAACGCGTGCGTAACATAACTTTACAGGGAAAGTTGAGATAGTTCGCAGATTGGCGCTTGGAAAAGAAACCATAAATAATGTTCTCTAGTTAAAACAACGCGATAAACATCAATCTTCTCACCAAGTTTCGTTACCGTGGCGCGCTGGTGAATCGATCTTCCGAATCTATTAGCATTGTCTGGTCTTATCTGAAAAAGGAAGGTACATATTCATTTAATTAAGTCAGCTTTTACGATGTGCCGACGTTACTTCTGACGAATTTTAATTTTAACTTGACATCGTTTCAGTGTAGTGTGAAATTTATTGTGTCAAGCTCAATTCCATGTCAGAATGAATGTTGTAAGTATTTCACATGAAGATAATTTGAATAAAAATCAAAGTGTTTTTTTGATTAACTAAAGTCCAGTAATTATTGCTTAACCCGCTTATTGGTGTTCGCTATTGTCGTATTTTACAATTATTTTGGATTAACCAATACAAACCGGAGGTCGCTGCTATATTTATCATTTTATTTAATTTTAGTTAAAATTGTATTGTCTTGGAAACTGTTTAATTGATTTGGCAAGAGAGAACATCTTCGAATGAAACGAATTTCGTCTTCTCAGAACTCTTCGTTGGGTTAATTCGTTTTATTTCGGTTTTGTGTTGCGCGAGACGCCACGGTTAACGAGATCAAGAATGATATTTTGAAGCACGTTTTGATTACAGGAGCGCTATTTCGACTCCCACGGCCGAGCGACAGGGCACCTCCGCGAAAATAGACACGCGCGTGTACACTTGCTCGGCATTATTTCATTCGGCATGTTCCGAAATTGACACCGACATCAATCTTCGGCCGCGCAACACGCGCGATCGATATTACGGCTCCCAAATGACACGTGAAATCGAAGTTTCTCTCTTGTGAGCACGTGCGAGTTACATACTTGCTCGCGAAATCACTCGCTGAAATATCAGTTTTGCGGTAATAGTCGCGAATAATTTACAGTCCGAAATTTTCATCCGCGAGCTTGAGATATTACCGTGTATGTAACATACATACGTCCGTACGCATAGTGTACAAAACACTAGTGTATAAAACACTACTAGAGAGAGAATCTAAGCAGAAGACTACAGCAGAACAAATCCGGAAATCTCAAAAAAAAAACGCTCAAACGCAACATTTTTGTTGTTGCAAAATATTTTTATTTTTACGTCGTGAATTCTCACAAATTTTAATACCGAGAATTCTCGGCAATAATTGGTCAATTTGTTCGTGTTTCGAGCTTCCTCCTTCGACGCGCGATTTCTTATACGTCTCTTATCAATTTAAATTCCGAGCGTGCTTGGGATGGCGTCGCGTGCGGCGACGGCGGATCGCGAAAACGAAAGCGGCCTGCGTTCTCGGTTATATACGTACGACAATACTGAATGGGCCGTGCATGCCATTCAAAGGCCGGAACACAACGTCCTGCACGGGACTACGCCGCGTGAGAGAGCTTCCTACGGAAGAGAATCGATCTCTCGATTCTTTGGCGCGGCAAGCGCGCGATACACCGCGAAATTACCTTCCAGGTGAAGCCTGTCGTTTCCATGGAAACCGCGGGAGCTTGCCCCGGCACTCTCTCCTAGGTCAGGGCCGACCTGCTGTGCGTTCTCATCCGCCGATGCGACGGGACCGAAGAAGAGAGCCGACGAGCGTGTGATGCTCGCAAAATGAGTGTTTATCGCGATACTGCGGTTTAAATGTGCGGAGGCGCATCTCTCGCGATATATTTCAAGAACCGGGAATAGCGTAAACCGAGCGACGTACGTTTTATGTCGACGGCTTTGACTGCGTTTCGAACCGCTCTTCGTTTGTGATCTTTACTGCACATCGTAAAACGTGGCGTTACGATTATTTGTATATATATTTTATGAAAGGATATAATCCAAGTGCAATAACACTAACGAACAATGACGCAGCGGTCGCAGCGCGGCCGGTCGTTGTTGGCGCGCTCGACGTAAACCGAATTAATTGATCAAATATAACGATCGTTGACTTTTCGTATCGAACGTCAATTAATTTATTCAGTCGGAAAATGCATCGGCAGGAAGTGTTTGCGTTTCTAATGAGATGATAATTTACATATCGACACACACACTGCATTCCGCCGTCTCATCGAAAATTCACTCTCGGCTTAGCAGAATGTAAACGCGAAATTTTAGCAGCACATAACACAGACACAATGGACGCGCGTCGTCCTCGCGCCGTTAATCGCCAGACTCGCTAATTAAAAATCGAAACTGCTGTGCAACGCGCGCCAAGAATTAGCCGGCGTTTCTGATGGTAATTATTCCTCCGAAATTAATGAAAGAGCGCCGCGCCCAGCGACGCGGTGTAATATTTTAGACAGCACGATATCGCACGAATAATAATTATTTATTAAATAGGTCTTGAAACGTTCCGAAAAAGAGAATTATGAAAAAGTCCGCGACTCGCGCGCGCGATAAAAAATGTCGCTTAAAAAAAAAAAAGAAAAAAAACCAACACCGGAGCAACGTAATAAATGTTTGAAGAAAAAGATACATCACGTGTGTACAAGTTACTTGCACGCATATCAAGAGAGAGAATGATACCTGAGATGATTTAAAACTTCCCGACAACTGTGTGCTATATCTGTTTTACACACATCAAAAAGCTATTTTGTCCGAAACGACACGTAAAACTTTATGTTGAAACTTCTGCGAAACGTACACATTTAACTTGCATATGACATTAGCACATTCCTTTGTCGGATACTGACGATTTCGTCCGCAGCGATGAGAAAAAAAAAAAAGCAATTCAATTGCGCTATTCTTTCGCGACACAGAAAAAAACTGGAGTCGCTTTAATTAAAGTAGTAGATGTCACAAAAATAAAGAGTTCGTTCAATTGCATACGCGCGTTAATTAATTTAATATCTAGATTTTTCTAAAGCAACTATCTGTTGTAGTTCAGTTAATATTGGATCAACAAAATATATTTCAATCAAACTGATGCTGTTGATTCGACATCATTTTTCATTTTTTTTTTTCATACGTATTGCGACGAACGTAATCGATCGCCCGGGAGAAACTTCGCTATAAATCCCTACGAAGAATCTCCGCCAAGAAATGACACCGAGATGCGCGTCATATCGCGGCCACACACACGCGACGGACTTACTGAGCGAGGCAAAAAGTCGCCCACTTCACAATGTCCTCTTCCCTATACTATGTGGCATCCGACGATGTAGGCCGAGTGCCGATCGGCGAGAATGTACTCTCGAGATAATTTCAAGACGGCTCGGAGATCGCGCCGCTTCGCCCTTTTGCCACGTGTGACGTCAACTCTAATCCTCATCTTCGAAGAAGTGTCGCTTCGAAGTCGGATTTATCTTCCTTACCCACTCTCTGTATTCCGTGGAGAAGCTACCATTTCGGTCGAGATGTGCTGCGTGACCCTCGAGAAAGGATCTATAAGCGCAGAATAGCCGTCACGCATCTTTTCTCTCTTCCTTTTCTTCTTTTTCTCACTTTCTTACGACACGTTTAATTACTACGAATCCATTTGTCAGGTGACTTTCACTTTTGAAACAAGCTCGTACAGTTTTCCGTGAAGAAAAATTGTCCCAAGAGTTGCAAAAAAATCATTTCTTTTAAATATTTTAAACATATTCCTTCCAATTTTTGTGTTACAATAATAATATAGTTTCAATAATTTGTTGCAAATATTTTTTGTTTCAGTTTTCTATTCCTTTCGCCGCAACATATTCAAGTGAAGGATCACACGGAAAACGTCGACAACTTGTCGAAGGTTTCAAACGCGCGTTGTCGCACGACAATACATATGTTACACTATCGTTATAAAGATGAGAATCTCCGAAGAGGACATTTTGCGAAGCGCTACATCCCCAAGCGGCAGCACATCGATACCAAAGTTTACTATCTCGCATCACGATATTGCGAGAGCAACCCCCGCACTGTTAGCTTACGCTTAGAATATATCTTTTACGTGCACGCGCCCTAAAACCCTGTAACGCTTTCTCAACACAACAACGGCTCTCTTGGCGGAAAAATAATTCCACTCCGAGAAATACACGTATCCGCCTTTCTCGTAAAAAGAGAAGAAAGAGAGAGAGAGAGAGAGAGCGCGTTTTCCCATATATTTCTTTCTTTATTTTTCTTTTCTAAAAAAAGAAAAATGTAAACATATTCTGTAACACACACCACTGTGTGTGTTTTAGTAAATCGCAATCTTCACCGTTTGTTAATTAATATCGTTATCGCAAACGGTTTATTTCTCACGTTCTCTCGACGATCCACTTTTGTTAGACAAATAGTTCACGTGACAGATCGCGGAATGAGAAAATAGATCATCATTTAACCGAAGCCCGATCGTGTCTGTCTTTTTGTATCGCATACATCACGTGAGGTTTGTGCCCACACGTGCGTACATCAGAAAGACGGAGAGACGTGTGACATGTGGGAAAAGATGATGATGTGAATACGTCAGAAAAATCTCGATATGCAAATGACAAAGTCGGAATATCTAAAACCTCTGCCAATCGCGGGGCAAAGACCCCGGGCTCTACTATCCGTTCCTTCCTTTTCTTCTTTTTTTTTTTTTTTTTTTTTTTTTTCGTCTTTTCTTCATCCCTTCACATAGAATATTCAATTGCTCGTCCGCCCCGTTTTCGTCGACCAAACCGTGAGTCCCGAAATTCAACTGAAAGCTACTTCACAAAGTTTCACCCTTTTATAGCCGAACTAAAAGCTATCCCCTCTCTTAACCTTTCTCCTTCATTTTCGATTACCGGATATTTGCCGTTCTTGATTTCGCTGATGTTTGCATGCAGGCCGACTCCATTGTTTCCGGTTCCCATTGAAATTGTTGACTGTACAAGCAAAAAAATTTCAAAGCATCTGCTATGCAAATATCACTCAATAAAAAAACAATGCCTCGGATTTTATCTGTAAAAAAAAAAATGTCCGAGCAATAATTTTGTTGCACATTACACTTGTTTTACTTCGTAAACAATGATCTAAAACTTCGTGTATAAATTTATTCATTATACCGAATCTTTTTGTGCACGGGCGCGTCAACGCGCCCTATTTTTCCTTAATTGAGAAACCGACGCGTTGATTTATTATAAAATTTATCGGAAATTTGTCAAGCGATAATCCGCGGTCGACAATGGATTTTGCATCA